AAGGAACATCCCTCCCTACAAGGCACAGGTTGGACGAAGCTCCCTACATATCCTATAAATATGTGGGTCCAAAGGTACACTACGAGGTGCAGTATCGTTATCTAATAACCATCCCATATACCCTCTGCATATCAGTCCATCGTTGCTACTAGCACCTCTCATGACTGGTGCTGTGCTTGTTGGTCTATCTTTGAGGAAGAGATTCATCCCGAAGAAGAAGGCCTTTACGATCACGATAGATGGTCCGGCAGGTAGTGGAAAGAGTGTGGTTGCCGAGATGCTCGCTGACAGCCTGAGCGGGTAATTCACGGCTACTATACCGGCGGAAGCGGACTCCCATCGTTAGGTTCACTAAGCTTGATAGTGGAGCTCTCTATCGCAGCATCGCTCTATTCGTGAACGAAGGTGATATCAAGGGTGGTATTGAATCATTGGCTTATGAAGCGTTTCGGGCCTTGTTGGAGCAAGTCATCTTCACTCGTGATAAGAGAGTGTTTGTTGGTACTAGGTGGGGTACGTTTGTTAAGGAGTCCCATCTAGTTTACAGGTAATCGGGATATAACCGATGCCATTCGTACACCCCCGATATCATTACTCACTGCAAAGATAGCCCAGATTCCGCAAGTCAGAGCTGCTGTTGTAGACTCCTTGAGGAGTAGAGCCTATAATAACAAGGAGGGTGTTGTTATTGAGGGAAGGGATACAGGTGCTCTGAGTGGCGGTGGGACCGCGTTCCTGAGAGTGGTTCTGATATGTATGTTAGGATCGGTAGTATTCCCTGATGCTGAGGTTAAGATCTATTTGGATGCATCTGCTGAGGAGAGAGTTCGGCGTCGACAGAGACAAATAGGTTACACCAGAGTAGTCCTCTCTATAAGACAGTATGATATCATATAGGTGGCGATTTCGCCCGTACCTTGGCTGATGTTAGAGCAAGGGATCGGGCCGATTTCTATCGGAAGACGGATCCCCTTAGAGTTGCTGATGGAGCGGTAAGATTGGTTTTCATAGCAGATAATTGACTCACGATAATAGGTTGTTATGGACTCCACTGGTTGGAGTGTTGACAAGACTGTTGACGAGATTACCAAATTGGTCTACAAGAGACGTCCTCGGACTAGAAGAATTTCGTAATCATATTTAGCATAAAATTTAAGACACTCGGTAGTGTCGTGTTGATTATATAAACTGTTCTGGGATGAATGACTATCAATAACTCGATATGAGATAGCAAACTCGAATCCAATGACTTGACGATCTTTCAATTGCGATTGATGTTCAGTACGACAGTTCTTCCCTTGTGCAAAAGAGTAGTTTCAGGGTGGATGATAACCATAGGCTGATCAGAAAACTTATCGCCTTAAAGCGTAAGAGCACCATCAACTTGACTTTCTCCTCCGATAAATAAATATCCCCGTCTCACAACAAAAAACATGATACTTTCATTCAAAAAAAATGATCTCCCGCTTGGCTACCCCATCAATAGCATCATAATCACATTCCAATTAACGCAACAACAATAAGTCAATCCTGGAAGCCGCCGTTATGTGTACAGGATCGCCGACTACCGGTCAGAGTGTAAGCAAACTGCAGTCACCGAAACTTGGCAGCAGACAAACACCTTCCTCCACAGGTAGTAGCTAGAGATCATCAACACGTAAATATACCAATGAGCGTATAAGAAGTTATTGCAACTTGACTACTTAATCCTTCCTACGATAAGAAGTACCCTCAGTGAGACGAGCGCGACCACCAGTGGGCTGGCAGAGCATCACGTTGCAGTTACCGCAAAGGACGACAGTCTGAGCGTGCCTGAACATGAGATGATGTATGCATGGACAAACAAGTAATGACAAAATGACAACATAACGAAATGACATCAAGGAATGGTCATATGAAAAAGATTAAGAAGAGGATGAAACCATTCCAGTTGTTGATATTACGAGAAGACGGTAGTGATCTGGGAGCAACCAGGGCACTTGACATCCATGAAGTATGAGTTAGGGGATTGTACCAAGCGCTTCAGCTTATGCTTAGACTTCTCAAGTTCGGGATCGGGATGGAGGAGATCGACGTTCATGGTAACAATATGGCGGACTACTTCAGCAACAGCATCACTCAGCATACTCTACATACCAATTATTTCACGCCTTCCAATTTAATGTCAAGGAGCTGATAAACTACACGCGAGGCACAGTCTCTAC